TGTAATGTTGCCTTCCAGATTACTTCAGGAACGGCAGTGTAGAGAAACAAACACATAAGGCCTCCATCGCTGCTTCTGCAGTGCCTCTGCCCAGGGTTCCACATAAGTGAAGTAAAACCCTCTTAATTAAGGGCTTAGCTAGGAAACTCTCCCCTCCCAACCTTTTGTGGATATTGGCAGAATTTAGTTCTTTGTGCTTGTAGATCAGAGACTGAACAGTCCCTCTCCCTGTCACCAGAATCTACTGTTGCTTGTCAGTGGGGAGCCTTCCATAGTCCCCTGGGGCTGCCCACCATCCCTGACCACATGTTCTTCTTTGTCTTAACTATTTTGCTTATTCAAAATTTGCACTCAGGAGATATTTCTCACATCTGTGAATTTCTGATTGTATATTGAGCTGAACCTCTCTTTTGGGGGGCTGGAGCTACCAGCTGTGCTCAGGGCTTGTTCCTGGCTCTGTGCTCAGGAGTCACTCCTGGAAATGTTCAGGGGACTTATGGAGTGCCACGGATCAAATCTGGGTTATTCATGCACAGGGCAAGTGCCTTACACTGTGTTCTCTTTCTCGCCACATTGGTATGCCCATTTTAAGATCATTCCTGATTAAGTCAGAGCCCTGCAAGCCTGCAAGACAATCTTTCTTTTGCCGAACTCCAAGTCAACTGATTAGAGATCCTCCTGATTAACATAGGAAAAATCCCATTTGATATATACCATATGATATGTCCTGGTACCATACCAGGACAGGTGTGGGTCCTGTTACACTGCAAGTCCCCACATCCCATTCCTCATCCTGAGACTCTCCTGGTGATGGGATTCATGGAGACTCTCTGGGTTCTACCTTGGTTTTCAAGAATTCCTTCGAGAGGCCAGAGAAACAGTGCAGGTGGTGGCAGAGTGCTTACCTTGCACATGGTCAGCCCCAGTTCATTCCCATCACATATATGGTCCTCCTAGCCTTACCAGGAATCACCACTTGGCACAGCTGGGTGTGGGCCAAAAAAACCAAAAAGTTATGATTCCCCTAATATGGTATTCATCCTACCATGGCATTCTACTATGGTTATTTCTATCTTCAACTCTTCCTCGGGTCAAGTTGGGTTCTAGCCCAAAAGAATGGATCAGTTCTGGTACCTCAATTTAGAATATGCAAATGTCTAGAGCAAATAAGTACCAGGAATTATCATAATCTGAGGTGTCTGGAATAGGAATTAAATGCGGATACTTATTTGGGAGGTACAGTCCCCAGACGGTGACAGAAGAGTGGCCAGGAAGAATGGAGAGGCCTCTGCCCTTTTCCTGACCCCTCAGACAACCACAGGAGGGCAGAGCCAGTCATTTATCAGAGTACAGCCAAGACATTTTCTCCGGACTGGTTGGATGGGGAACCTTCACTGTGGAGGAGCCGGAAAGTCTCCTGTTCTTCAGTGACTCACATCAGCCCCTTGGAGGTGGGGCTCGTTTTCTCCCAGCAATGGGTTGTGTTATGGATTCTTTGGGAGTTTTCTTATAATCCAGGACTCCTTCCATGAGATGTAGGGTCCATGCCTGTCTTCCTGGAAGAGTTACCCCAGTGACTGGTGGCCAGGGAGGGAGGGGAGGCCTGAGACCAGAGAGGCTATGATACACAATGCAGGGTACCACAAAGGGAAGCCCACATGGGGGCATGGGAGGGGCCCTGGGAGCTCTAGCCACAGGCTAGTGGTGGTGGTGGTGGTGGTGGGGGATATAGCAGGAGCAATGACAGTGCAGAAAGAAGCAGAGGGATGCACTCATTTATTTAAGGCATTTCCTTTATAACTACTTCTTAATTACAAAGATAGTACACTTAAATAAAAAATGGAAACAGTAAAAAAAGAATAGAAGTGGCTATAATGAAGTTAAAGTCTTTTTATGCCCCAGATTCCTAGTTACAGTTGCCCAAGAAATCATAAGCTTTTTGTCCTTCCAAAAACTTTGTGGCTTATACAATCAGAGACAGAAAATAGATATTTAAGATAGAACTGATACAACTAGAGAGGGAGAAGCAGATGTAAATATAGATATCATGTGTGTATATCCTTTGCAGAAGAACAAATAGAAGCTCATGGTGCATGGACTTTGCAACTCAGAATTTTTCTTTGGTTAGACTGAAGGTGAACATTTGCATCTGTACAGTATTTGGCTATTTTTAAACAAAGATGTAACAAGATTTTGAATTGAACCTCTGTGTACATGTCTATGTATCAGATTAGAATACATTCCCTTTTATTGGGGGTGTGTTATCAGGACTGGACCTTGTCTTCTAGAAGCATGTGTCTTACCTGTAGGTCTCATCCTCAGCCTCCAGAATAATTCCTTTTGCGGGATTGTTTTTTTTTTTTTCTTTTCTTGGTTTTTTTTTTTTTTGGTGGTGGTGGGGGCTACACAAGTGCTTGGGGAAAACTGACAGTGCTTGGGGGACCAGACAGTGCTAGGAATTTATCCCCATGCCACTTACATGCAGTGCATGCACTTCAGGCCTTTAACATAACTCTCTAGTCCCTAGAATAATTTCTTGATATAGACTAATAAATATACTGAAATTTCTATACATATTGGCAAATATTCTTCCAATACTTTTTTCACAATTTGCACTTTCCTCCCCCTACCCCAACTTTATTGATTAGTCATTTTTTATATTAAGATTTTGGCCAGTGTTTCAATGAAAAAAAGGTACTGGATTGTAGTCATTTATGTTTCCTTGATCAATTACAATGTTAAGCTTGTTAGTCTTGGAGGGATTTTTTTAATTGAATCACCGTGAAATAGAGTATTTCAAAATTGTTCATGATTGGATTTCAGTCATACAATGTTCCAAAACCCATCCCTCCAAGGTGTATTTTCTCAGCACCAGTGTTCCCAGTTTCCCTCCCACCGCTTCAAGCCAACCCCCACCACCCCCAATCCAGCCTGCCTCTATGGCAGAAAACTCTTCTCTCTTCTCTATCTCTGTTTCTCTATCTCTGTTTCTCTCTCTCTCTCTCTCTCTCTCTCTCTCTCTCTCTCATTTTAGGGATTATGATTTGTGATACAGATGCTGAAAGTTTATCATGTGTATCCCTTTACCTGCTTTCAACACTCAGTTCGTGTTCGGAGTGATGATTTCCAACTAGTATTCTCATAATAGACACTCCTCTATTTTAACTACCCTATATCTCCCACACCATTGACTAACCACTGTCCAGTCCACCTGGCCCGTTTTCCCTGGCCTTGGATATTAGTTTCATACTTTTTTAAAATATCCCATAAATAAATACAGTCATTCTATTTCTGTCCCTCTCCTAACCATTTCACTCAACATGATATTCTCCAGTCTAACTATTGATAGACAAATTTCATGATCTCATTTTTCCTAATACTAGCTGTGTAGTATTCCATTGTATAGATGTAGTGTAGTATCTTTTTAAAACTTTTTAAATGAATCACCATGAGGTACAGTTACAGATTTACAAACTTTTGTGCTTACATTTCAGTCATACAGTGATCGAATACCCATCCCTTCACCAGAGCCCATTCTCCACCACCAATGATCCCAGTATCCCTCCCTATCTTTATCCATATGTCTGTTCTCAGGCACTCAGGTTATTTTCAGATTCTGGCTGTTGTAAATAGTGCTGCAGTGAACATAAAAGTACAGATAGTGTTTCTGTTGTGTATTTTTGGACCCCCCAGGGTATATTCCCAGAAGTGGTGTTGCTGGGTCAGATGGAAGCTCAATCAATTTCTAGTTTTTTGAGGAATGTTGCTTTCCAAAATGACTGAACCAGTTGGAATTCCCACCTGCAGTGAGTGAGGGTCCCTTTCTTGGAGGGAGATTTAAAATAGTGTTTTTCCAACCGTAGCCTTGGATCTGGCCATCTGTCCCTTGGTCTACAATATACCCCGCTGGGCCCAGGAACCAACTGTAGAAAGTAAAGTATGGCTGCTAAGATAGGATGGAGCAGAGGGATACTCCCATCGAAACTTCACACAGGGTACCTGGACCTGGAGAAACTGATGTGACAGGTTTTTTGAGCTAGACATAGACAAACACACTGGCTTTGAACTTGGACGCATCATGAGGAACTTTGGAATTAATTTGTTGTAGAGGAATGTCAGTATGAGTGATCCTGGAAAATTAAAAACTCTGAAACATCTATAAATGAAACTTCATATCCCTCTGCTCAATACCCAGTCCTGACTCTCTTTCCCTAGGAAAAAAATGATTTTGGGGAGAAAATGAGGCCTTGTTTTTTAAACACAGAGAAAACAAAGTTCCTAAGTTGACTCTCGACATCAAAGTCAACTCAGAGTTTTGTGTGTGTGTGTGTGTGTGTGTGTGTGTGTGTGTGTGTGTGTTAGCCTGGAGGTAGAAAGTGTCTTTCACTGTGTTGGAGTTTGAGTGGTCATGGCTTTGCCAGAAGTGTCCATGGATGATACTCCTTGTCCTTCTTAGACACTTTTTATCTAGAGAGCTCAGGAATTATCCCCCCATTGCATGATATAGATGAGATACATGACAGCTCATCTTCCTCCACCCTTCTTGCCACATCCACATTGATCAGCTCTCCTCCTTCTCTAGAGTCTTTCCCCTCAAGTAAACTGATATAATCAATAATATTTTCAAGATAACAGTTCTTGATAGGGGACTCACATAGAAGCACCCAGGTTGCTTGCTGTGGTAACCCGAGGCCTCCACTGACAGACATGTGCTCTCAGTGTGGAAAGGGCCATTACACAGAGGATAAAGTAGCCTCCTTCACGTGGTAAGCACTCACTCTTTTTTGCACAAGTGGCTCAAGGCTACACAGTCTGATGTCATAACGGGCTGAGTGAAATAACAGAACTTCAGGTTTTAAAGTTTCATAAGTTGTCCATTCTTCATTCACATTCTCCCTTTACTTTCTGCCTTCTTTCCCTTCCTCCTCCCTTCTCTTCCTCTCTCTTCTGTTCCCTCCTTCCCTCTCCTTGTGTTTCCTATCCCTTTGCATGTGATACAGCAGTGTTCCCGGATAATAATGCCCTCCAGTCTATGGCACTGGCTCCAGGGAAACTTCCTAATGTCAGAAGCAGTCATTTCTCTCCTTGTTGCCGGCTGTGAGCACCACCATAATTTGTTAGACCTGATGGAACAATCGGGTGAGTTTAGTTTCTTTTTTCCATTAGGAGAAAGTAGACTGAAATATACTTCTCTCTCACACACATCAGGGTGCACTGAGATAAGGAAGTACTTGGGTTAAACTCACCAATGCAAACATTTCCATCCTTAGACCCTACTTAATTATGTCATTGGTCATTGTTGATTTGGCAATGGAAGTGATTAAATCTGATCAGTGATCACTAACCATTTGGGATGTCAGTAAGTATCACTGGAGTGAACCAGTGGCTTGATTGGCCCAGGATGTAGCTAATCTTGAAGTTTGATGCTGACCAACTCTGACTGACCTTGCACCACCATAAAGGTAAGCAGGCTTAACTCTCATGTGCATAGTTACCTTATATAGCAAATCTGTCTGTACCTCACTCTGGGATCCCAGAAAACTTCCACTGGGAAAGAAAGATTTAACACCATGAGACCTCCTAATTTGACTAATGTTCCTGGGCTCTTCTCTGTACCTCTTTCTCTCCGTGAAAAAAGGTAAATCATGGTGATCTTTGTGGCGACTTGTGGTGCCCATTCATGTTGATTAAGAGAGAGAAGCTTACCAATAACAATGGAGTGATGCTTCTGGATGACTGTCTCATTTATGCTCTGGGAGGGAGCAGTGCTGTGTTTTCTCATCACTCTGCGGCCATAGTGGTCCTGATCCGAGGACACATGCAGACAGGGCCTTTTTCTTTGTGCTTTGGGATCTCCTACAAGGGGCTTCTTGCCTTCTCTGGTCACGTAGAGTGACACATACATGTCAGGAGCGGAGGAGAGTCTGTTTGTGATGAGCCAGACAAGTCTCACACGAGGATGCTGCTCATCACACGGACTTCTAATAATTGCCAGGAAACCAGGATAAACACAGTGTCACTGAATTCCCATTAATGAAATGTCTGCTTTCCCTAACACGGGCCTTGTGACCAGGCTAGAGAGATGTCCATTAAGTGGAGGACTGATAATTTAATCACCAAGAAACCAGGTATAAGCAGAAGATGCTGTTCTGGAGAGAAGCTTGCTTCCTCCCTTCCCCCAGTTCTCTACAAGTTGCTGATCTTTACCCCAACCTGGAGTGAATTGGTATCCCTAGATCTGGCAGATAATGCAAGTCTTAGGAATCAAAATTTGTGCAAAAAAATCTAACTTTGGGGCCAGAGTAATAGTAGAGTGGGTAAGGCAGTGGGTAGTACAGCAAGTGTACTCTACCTTGAACACAGCCCACCCGGGTTCTATCTCTGGCATCCCATTTAGTCTATTGAGTGCACCAAGAGTGATTCCTGACTGCAGAGCCAGGAGTAACCCCCTAAGTATCATAGGGTATAGCCCAAAGCAAAGCAAAACAAAAAGAAAAAGAAAATAAATTAAAAAATATAACTTTTAAGTTAAGAAAGATCTAACTTTTCTTCATGGAATGAATAGATTCAATCAGATCTGTAATGTTCAAGCACCAGGAAGATCTTACTTCTGGTCAGCTTCTGGAATGGGAACTCAACTTTGGAGGGAGAAGAGAGGAAAACTTTTCCCTTCTTCCCATATAGGTTACGTTTTGCTTGTCGAAATAAGATTCGATGGAAATAATACAGATTAATAAAAGTAACAAAAGCATGGCTCTAAAAGAACCAGAGCACTGGAATCTATGTGCTCTTTCCTTCCCGAACTTCACTGTGAAGTGAGGAGAGCCTGGTGCCTCAAAGGGGAGAAAAGCAGGTTGGAATATGGGAGGAGCAGGTGCTACCTGCCACATCGTGCAGAGCATTGCTGATGCAAAATTTTCTCAGTAACTGCTTTCTTCTTAGCACATAAATTCTCTGTACAAATTCATTTAGGTGCTTAAAGAAGAGGTTAAAAAATAAAAAATTTCCCCAGTCTCTTGATCCCAAATTCCTTTAAACTAAAATAATTCATAAGCTATCACTATATCACTGTATCAGTGTCATCCTGTTGTTCATTAATTTGCTCAAGCAGGTGCCATTAACGTCTCTACTCGTACCAGCCCTGAGATTTTAGCAGTCTCTCCTTACTTGTCCTTCCCAACGGTGCTGTATTGCAGGCTCTTTCAGGGTCAGGGGAATGAGACCTGTTATTGTTACTGTTTTTGGCATATCGAATATGACACGGAGAGCTTTCCAGGCTCTGCCGTGTGGATGAGATACTCTTGGTAGCTTGCCAGGTTCTCCGAGAGGGATGGAGAATGTATAGAAGAGAATACAAGCAAGTATGTTAAAATAAAACACATGTGTGCTGCTTTAGGTACACCAGTGGGCTAGACTATAAGAGGTTGTGGCTCTCATATACTATAGGGATTGATTTTCAGGATTGATAATCCTCTTTGAAGGATTATCTCCATTTTGGAGATCCTGATGAAGGCTGTGAACAGTCTTCTCAAGAAAAAAATGTATGATCACATGGAATTCAGCACTCAATTTCAGTCCATTCACAGGTCCCAGACATGCTTCCAGAGGCTTAAGAGTAAAGCTAGTAGGGATAGTGGAGAGACCTCAGTGCTCAGGTGACATGAACTGTGCCTGCGACCCACAGCTTTGTACATCTAAATGTCTACCTGTCAGTCTATGGAAGAGCCTCTGAGATTACACCTGATTTGTCTTCAGTTTCATTCATCTGAGAATCCAAAAACCTTCATCCCTAATGATGAGGATCCCTTTCTTGTTTTCTGTTTGTGTGCTTCCTGAAAGAGACTCTTTTGCATCAGGGAGGGTCAACTTCATCATGAGTAGTCTCAGCACAGATGGTCCTGGTTTTTGCATGTAGTGTGTGCTCAGAAACTGTTATCTGGATGAGTAGACAAAGGAGTGTTCTCATTTGGGAGTTAGTTTCTAAGCAGATCAGAGCTGCTCACAGTGCAATGAAACTGGGCATGGACAAATGCCACCCACTTGTCCTCCTTGCAGCTGAGATGCATGTCCCATGGACATGGAGAAGCCTGCCCCTGAGAGAAGATTCCCCTCCCTCCCTCCCTTGCAATCTGCTCAGGGGCCTTTGACATTTAACTCCAGTGCAATTTGTTTGTTTTCACCCGACTTGAAAATACCAACAAATGTCACCCGCCTTCACTCCTCTCTCCCAACATGAGACTTTGATGGGCCAGGAGCCAGCAGCTCTAATGAGCATCTCAAGTCTCCGGGAACTAGTGAGGAGAAGCAAAGTTTCAGCTGACACAAGGTGGGCATGGAGAGAAATCTAGCAAGGGGAGGGGGAGCACAGGGTTAGGGATGGGCCAAGATGGGCCAGTGTGGGAGCTCCCACATCACCCTGGGGAAAAGTCTTGTGGTGTACTCCCCCTTGCTATTCTAAAGTAGTCCTCACTGCCCTGGGGTTGCTTGGTTATCCCAGCATCTGACTGGAGTTTCTGCCTGCCGTGGGCTAGAGGTAGGCTACCATCTTACCCTTTGTAGAGATTATATCAGTTACAAATATATTTTAATGTTAGTGATGATAGAACAGGAGTAGTCCAAGTGAGGTAGGATTTCATACCTCTTCATGTCTAAAATAGAGGAAGATCTATATTTGCAAATATGACAGCATCGCTCCTGCTGTGACACTGTACTGTGGGTATGTATGAGCTCAACCCTGGGGTAAATGAGAATGCTTGGTGGTCTATAAGAACGCTTACATTTTTTGCAACTTCTTATGGAACTATTTTTAAAAAAATTATAATTAAAACAAAAATCTGTAGGGAGTAGAGCTCTGTGTGGTGATGCTGTGAGCATTAGGTATCAAGTTCCTTCTCCAACACACACATTCTACCCCAGTGTTCAAACTGACTGCTAGAGCACTACCCATGCATCTCCTTCCAGTCTAAGAAAGGGAGTCACATTAAAAATAGGTTCCTTTCCCTTGAGGACTTTCCTTGGCATAACATGTTTCTTATAGCCTATTGGCCAGAGCTTATTCATATGACCACAGAGTTAGCATGAAGGAGTCTGGGAGATGTAGTCTTTATTTGGCAGGGCCTGATGGCCAAATAATTCTTGGGGATTATGTAATACTTTTCTTTTTAATGGGGAAGAAATAATAATTCTTGGAATTATGTAATTCTTCCCTTCCTAATGGGGAAGAAGGTATTATAGGCTACCTGAGGTTCTGATCCCTCTCCCCCATCATAGGGGAAGAACACTATGCTCGATGTTAAGGAAGAGCTGGTTGATTTGATTCCCCACCCATCTTTAGTTTAGATTCCCATGACTCCTCTATTCTACTGCAGCAAGATGCCTTTATTTTCTTATTTTAGCAAAACATACTCCCCTTTCCCTGTTCTACGAGCCTTTATCCAAGCTTCCCTCCTCACATGGGAACTTTAAGCCAGAGGCATTCATTTTCCCTGGCTCTGTTTTATGTCAAATGGCAGGAGGCACTTATGTGATATGAATTAGGAGAAGCTATTAGACTCTGTCAGCCTTGCAATCTCTCCAAACCCACCTCCACAAGTCAGGGGGTAGTGCCTACAATTTTATTAGGAGCACAGCCCATGGTTAAGGCAGTGCAGAATTCCCCTTCTCAGAATCAGCCTTTAATATTTTAACCATTGATTTATTTGACCTTTTTGAGTGTTGCAGCAAAGAGAGGCCCCTGAAGGCTGGAAGAGAATTAGTCATTGCCCTGTCCCCAACACCCTTCCCTTGTACATCTGAGGCAATGAAGCAAGGAGTAAGGGATAGATGTGTTCACCCCAAGACAAGGACCAAAGGCTTTATACTTACTCACTACTGATCCCCAAGGCTGGTGGAGATAAGGGTGGGTGGGGAATGCTTGCTGGCAGACTACTTATGGGAAGAAATATGAACCTCAGGGCCTCATCCAAGCATCGCTTACCTATGCAGAGAAGAAAGCTGTGGGTCTCTTCTCCAAACCAGCAAGCCCCTCCGTACTGAAGCAGGGATGTGAACTAAATACTGCTCCAGAGCACAGTCCTTGCAGCCCTCCCTGTTCTCTCATTTATCGGAGCCCTCTGAACTTTCAGTGGGGCTCTAGACCC